TTGATGCAGGGCAGGAATCTGTTCCCAGGGGCTGGCTCTTCTCAGGACTGCTGCTTCTTTGAATATTCACTTTGTTCCCGTATTTATGAAAAATTCAGGGGACAGGAGGAGCTTTTTATCTCCCAGTTAATGCTGTCATTCAGTGAGCCCCTTTAAACAGCCAGTGAAGAAGAGTGGGTACTCTGGAGAGAAATTAAAGGCACATTACATTGGTCTCATGATGTGCCTTGGCTTTGAGACATTTCTCTCCCCTCCCCCACTGACCTGGCTTCCTAATGAGGCCTGTAAACTAGGGAATGCCCCCAACAAGTGTGCTTTCTTACAAGGTTTGTGAAAATGTCCAGGATACCTGCCTGCCCTCTCTGTCCTTCTGACCAAATCAACTAGCACCACTGGAGATCAAACAGGAATTAAAAAAATGGCATTGGCAGGAGTAGGTTTAACACCCCAAGTCTATTAGGGGAGAGAATGCAGCATTATTGATTCCAGCCCCTGACCTTGGAGTGATGTAAACAGGAGTGCAGCAACCCTAGAGGAGTTGTAGCAAAATAGTTACAGCATTGCAAGCAGATTAAAAATACAGTTAATATACATACTTCCCCAGATGCTTGTTCATTATTATTCAAGACATGTTTATTATGCAAAATGATAAAGCAGAAAAAAAGGAGAGGAAAAGAAAATGCAAAGACACATTGAGCTTTTAGCATGACTGGGGTTTTCTCAATGCTGCTTAGAGGTTTTTTTTTATTGTGCATAATCATTCCCTTATTAGCAGGAATCTTTGAAGTGATTCAGGCTCTAATTTCAGCATTTCAAACTCATAGGTTTATACTGAAAAACCACAGTGAGCTCCTGTAAGTGACCCATTTTTTTTCCTCTGTATTCTCTATCTCTGCTAGGGTTTTCTATGTCTTCCCAATAAATTATGTATCACAATTTGCCATTTCAAAAATAATTAAAACTCCAAGTTAAACAAAAAGGAATATCTGAGAGCAATACATTTTAGTAGAGAAGTGTTCTGCACTTGGGGCAAAACCAATCCCAGCTGCAATGCCACTGAATTATAGATATCATCATATTGAGAGATGCACTTCCAGTGTACTTGGAGTGATTGGGTGGACCTGTGGAGACTCTACAGCCCCATGGTGAAGATCTGCTCCAGGAAAACCAGGTTTGCCTCCCAGGCAAAATACTTCACAAGCACTCCCTCTCCCATGCCCCTGTGTAGGGAATAACAGAGGGAAATCTGGGAACCAAGGGGAGAAACTTCACAAAGTTACACAGGAGTGGAAATTAATTTTGTGGTGAAACTATTAACTCCAGACAGACAGGGGAGCATGTTTTGAGTCTTCTCCTGTCAGGATTATTCTGTAAACTCACAGGAGCAGGACAGATCTCTTTATTCCATGTTTCTGAATCCTGTACAACATTCAGCCCCTGGTCTCAGATTCTTCCCAAGTGCTGAGGCACTGTAAATTATACCCACTGCCCTTCATTCATTCTGTGCAATTTTTCTTTGGCTTCAAATGCTAACAGCGGTTCTTCAGGAGAGTCAAGCTCCTCCCCAGAACAGGTGCTGATTGAAACCTTTGTGCACCCTCAGGGAATTTACAGCTGCTGTACATTCCAGGAAATCCAAATTGAACACACCAATGACTCCCCAAGCTTGCTATGCAGACACTGGTTTGCATCCTATTTTCTGCAAATCAGGATACCTCCAACTAAAGCATGATTTTCTTGTCTGCTTATCACCTAATTCCCATGTCGACCTCAGAGATAGCAACAACCTCATCTGGGGGAAACTAAATCAGGTATCAGTGTGAGTAAGCAATGCACAAGTCCCAAACAGCTGCTTCCCAAACAAAGAAGGTTTAGCATCCAATAAATTTAGGCCTCTAAAGCTGGCTAGGAGTATATGGTTGGCTTCAACCCAGCCTGACACTATCCCTGCCTGAACAGATGAGGCAGGGATGAGGAAACTCAGTGCTGAAGGCAGCGATGTGGCCAAGCCATCAGAAGGTCTTGCAAGTTTCTAGGAAATGCTGTCTCACCACATTTGGCTTTAGAGGACTCTGCTCAGCCCTACTTTTGTGCTAATCAACACAAGGAAGACTTTTTCCAGGAGCTGGTTATTCTAAGCCCATTCATTCAAGAGCCCATTGGCCTAAACTCAGAAGGAGCTGGCACAAGCCATCCTTAAGACCAGGCTGATAACAGCCTCTGGTTGGATCCGGGGCAGAGGATGCCAGCCAAGACCTCAGCTGTCACACAGAGATTAAACATCACTAAAAACCCCACAAAACAAAACCAAAACAAACCCACAGTGATTATGTGTTCAGTTGCAGCATCAGTCTGGGTTCAAGAGGAGTGAAAAGACTCCAACCCAAACCAAAACCAAACAAGCAAGCAGAAAAAAAACATTACCCTGGACAATTTTATTTGAAACTAGTCTTGGACTTGAGGGTGTTCTAAGAAGTCCTTACAGAGCTTCCACGCAGCATGGAAGGCAGCCAAGCAATTCATTTCTCAATTGGCTCATGTGAGTGAACAGTATCTGTGGGGAATGTTGACCCATTTTTTTCAGAAATCCCCCAAAAAAGGCTAGTGAAAAAAACAAGATACACACACAGAGAGAACAAAGCTGTAGTTTAGGGTCTGCTAAGCAAAGACCAGGGACAAAGTGTCCCCTTGGTGTGGTCAGCAATGAGGTCCAGGCAGCATGGCCTGGGGATCCTCACCCCACAAGGAAACCTGGAGCATCCCAAAGAGACTGCCTAAACAGGTTGAGCTGTTTTCAGACATATCTTCTTTCATGGCATCCTGATCTCATCCCTTGTCCTTTACAATGAGCTTGACCCATACTCCCTGCTCCTAACACACTTTATCCCCAAATTTTCTATTTTCTTGCTTTGGGGTTTGCTCCCTAGCACAGTGAATTAATTGATTTACTGCTGTAAGACAAAGACAGAGCCACCAGTCATCACAAGGAAATTATCCAAAAAGGTCCATCACCCTGGAGTAGAGCATCACACATTTACTGCAAACAGAAACATTGGATCACATTGATAAAATGAACAGTTTCACTCTTATTAGCTCAGACAGAGCTCAATGCCATCAAGCTGTGGCATGTAATGAGGTTCACTTCATTAACCACCGGCCATCACAGTGCATCCTTCCCCATCAGCCTTCCCTGATTAACCTTCCTGCTCAAGACAGGCACACTTGTTGGAAATAAGCAGGCCCATTAAATCTCCCTCATTTGAATACATGTGTGATCTGGTGCCTTTTAGGATACTTGAAATGACTAACAGATGTGTTTCCTGGACAGCATGGTCCTCCTGCTGTCTACCACCTCTTGGTGTGTCCCTCCCACCCTTTATATCGTGTCTGACTATTACTAGAGAGAGAAGATTTTTCTCTGCATCTTCTCTAGTCTCTCAGCTGTCAAACATCATTTTTTTAACTCTCTATTTCCTTTTCCCAAGACCCACAGCTTTCCCTCCCCTGCACTACATCAGAAAACGATGACCACTCATTGGCCCAAGAGGACCCTGTTGGCTGGCTGTGGTGCTGTGGCCCTGTGACACACTCTGATTTCCTGCAATCCTCATTTACAGGGTACTGATGGTACAAAGAGTCTCAGCACTGGGCCAGAACTGTGTTCTGCACGGCAAAAACAGGGCAAAGCATCAGTCCTGAGCCACTGACAATGTGCCCAGAAGGACACACACGCAATAATGCAGTACCACACTGTGCTCGGTATTACCTTTAGGACTCTGATAGCTTTACAGAGAGAGGAAGTTTTCATTGTTAGTAAACCAATTTAATTTATTTAGAAGCAGTCAATTATGTTTACTGGGCTATGAAAGAACAGGAAGCGTCTGGCATGCACAGAGATCCAGACTGATCTCTCTGTCTCTTCTTGACAAGCAGCCAGTTTTGAGACCTACCTTGCCAGGCATACTAACACCTCCTCTGCTTCCTATCCTGAGCTGCTGGGGAGACAGAGCCTTGTCACAGCCCAAGGGAAAAGGGGAAATCTCAATCATGTGACCAGTATAAAACTGACCAAAGATGGAAGGTAAAAGTTAGGAAAAATTGCATAGAGCAGCCCAAACTTCTGTCCTTTCAGTGGTCCCATCGTCACATTCAACACTTCTGAAGCAAAAGTGCCCAGACAAGAGCAGAATCACTGCACTGTAAATTTACACAAAGGCAGATGAGATTAGAATCTGGCTATGCACTGTAAAGCTATCATAACTACAGAAATGAGAAGTGTATTATTAACTATCCCTTTTTACTATGTAGAACTAGAACAAAGTTATTTAAAGCATAAAAATTCTGGCAAAGGGTTGCCATATTTAATAAATCACCGAATCAGTTATTCACTGTGAAAATCAATTACTTACTTTAAATGAGAATCTTACGAATAACCTCATGCCCTTTCATGCCATCTAAGAAAGTTGTAAGGGAATTAGTCGGCAAACATTGCCGCACTTATCTTTTATGTGCATTAAAAAGACCACACAAATACAGGGAATTTCTGCCAACAGAACAGTCCAGAACCCTTTTAAGAGAGTTAGGGTATTGCTGTGGATTTACACTGCAGTCAAAAGCAGAGTATGACCCATTGGGGTACCACCTATGATCAGTTATCTGCGTGCAATTCAGAAGCAATCACAGTGAGTCCATGCCATTTCACAAATGAGAAATCAGAATATGACCAGCCAACTCTATACAAACGCCTCAACAACGTGACCTACATTAAGTACATACTTAAAGGAACTGAAAATGTATCTTCACAGGTCAGGAAATACTGCCATGAATCTCCATGGAGACACTATTAAGTGAATATTGCATGGCCTTGCAGCAGCTCCCCCCGCTGCTGCTTTTAAAGGTTTGCTGATACGTGACTGTTTTCAGCAAAAGCTGAAGTCCCAGAGCAGTCTGCTTCCTCCCACCTACAAAACTCCAGGAGCCCAACAGTGCAAAGTACTCACTGAGCTGTAGAGATATCCCTCAGCGTTCATGGCAACGTACAGACCTGCCTTCACCCCTTGGATTGCCACCACGCGAAGACCCACAGGAATTAGATTGAAAAGGGCTGTGGAAGGAAAAGAAAAACAAACGTTATGGACATGTCACCCTACATGGCCACTGCTGATTTTGCCCCAGGGCCAGCCCACCCTACTCCTTCCTCTTCACAAAAGTGACTGCACTAGGATCAAGCATCCTGCTTCCAGCTACAGGGAAGGACTGCAGCCATGGAGCTGATGGTGAAAGGAAATTTTTAAAAGTACTGAGTTTGGCTGCCTCCCAAATGCCTTAACACGCCCATCAGTCTGTCTGATCACTGCCTTTGCAATGCCAAGGGCTCATCCGTGCTCCCAAGCAAGAGCATCACGATGGCTTTCTGAGGGCCAGCTGAGCCAGGGCAACTGCACATAGACAGACTTTGCCTGTGGCAAATGCAACACCACAACTCAGTTTAGCTCCCCCTGAAACACATTTAAGCCTAGTCACACTTTCCTGCATTTGCCATATGCTAAAAGAGTATACAGACAGCCACTATGGCCAGAAGAATGCAAATTAACTTGACTGTGTGCTTGCCCATGTGTTCCTGGGCTGTCAAGGCAATGAACAAACTCAAGAAGAGATAGTGCTTCACTCTGGGACATCAGCACTGCTCCCCATTCAGGACCAGCACTGGAGAGGACAGAAGAGGACAAGATCTTCCATTATTCAGTTTTACTGCAGTCTTATTGATTAAAGCATTGCAACCACTTCCTCTCAGTTAATTACTTTATTGCTCGATTCCCACCCAGCAGACCCTGTATCTCATTGAAAGACTCTCCCCATGAGTATATACATTAATGTGCTGTCAGGCTTTTGCTGCATTTCTAACAGCATGGGCTCAAAGAGGAGACTATTATCAGCACTGATAGACTGAGCACTGAAGCATTAGCATGGCTTTGTTTCTAGTGAGCTTTATAGGACAAGAGTATTTAGATGTTGCAGGATTCCTTGTGCTTCAGCTTACAAAGAGCTAATTAGAACTCATCCCAGGAAACTGAAGATAAGGAAAGATGGGCACAGGGTCAGGCAGAAAAATAAGCACAAACACAGTGGAAATACTTCACTCAAGGTCTCTTCCTACACAACAGTCCTGAAACAAGAATATGCAATGCCACTTTGCTCAGGACATCTATCAGGTTTCTTGGCTGTGCTGGTTTCAGGGTTGCCTCCAAAAGAGGATCAATAAATTCCAGTGCACATGAATACGATTTTTTCTTCACTTAATTGCCAAGGAAGACTGGATGACTCCCTTCAATGAACTGCCTAAAATGGAGACACCTCAAGTCTAGTGAAAAACCCCTCATCTCAGTCTCTTGTTGAGCTTTTATGCACCATATTCCATAAAACATCAAAGCATGCGTTGAAGTTTTACCAAATCCAGTGTCTGTATGTGTGTTTTTGGGGGAGAATGTCAATAGATGTATATGGAAAATGCAGTCCAGGCTGGGTATTGGTCTGTGAATAACTGGAGTCAAGCACAGCGCTACTTTGGTACTGTCCACAGAAAAGGCAAACACATCCCAGAGTAACTACTCAGCATTAAAAGTGTTGCCTATCCCCTTCTCCCTACCATGAAGGTCTAAAACCTTGTGCAATTAACAAGTCTATAAGCAATTCCCCTTCCCTATTTCTTCCTCTTACTGAAAAATGGAGCATATTACTGCTAATAATGAAACAAAATGGGCATCATCATTCATTTCCTACAGCCAATTTGTCTTGCATAGGAAACTTGTGACAGACCATTCAAAGCATTCATTAGGCAGCAAGGTGATAACACCCAGAATTAGTGGTTGAGAAGTTCCACTTGGAAGCACCCACATGTTTCCAAACCTCTTTCCACCTCTACATGCAGAGGAACAACCCTATTGTGCTGTGCTACAGCAGGAGGACCATGGCCAGTTCCCAAAGCCCCTGGGACGCTGCTGCACCCATGGCAGAGCATCTCCTCCTCTAATGCAGGGGAGCAAGTGGGCAGGCAAGCATAAGGCCACAACACTGACAGAGGTAACTGGCAGCCAAAAGAAGTTTCAGGAAGCAATTATCTTCCTCTATTTAAAAAAACCCCAGTAGTTTGGGTAAATTCCCAGAGCAATGTCTGCACTCAAATCTAGAAACACCTTTGCAGAAGTTGATGCCTTTTACTATCATGCTTCCAAATAATATTTCATATTTTGAACAGATTTAAAAGCATATAAGCTTAAAAGTAAGAATGCAAAAATGGATGGAAACCCCTCAATCAACCTCAAAAGCAAGATGCCTCATTTTTTGTCTCAAAAAAAAAAATTGATTTGAAACAGCAGATTTGAAAATGGGAAAAAGGACTAGCTATGGTAGAATAGAACTGCACACTGGGTGTGTTGATGTGAGAAACAGAAAATTTAAAAAATGCTTTTAAAACTGTTTCTCTTCTGCAAATGGCACATATTCTATGCCATCTGCAGCTTCATGGAAGGAATGTGCTCTTTTACTTCATGGTCTAAAGGGAAAAAACTTGAAAATGTTGAATATTCGTTCCCCTTTTTTTCATTATATCTTACCATCTTCAACCAGTGGTATTTACATCTGACCCTAGTACTTCCAGCACACTCCAGTCCTAAATACATGAGTATATTGTCACTATTATGTTATGGTAATTTATAAGCTAAATTCTGAATGCATTATTCCCTATGGGTCTAAGTTGTCTACAGAAGTGGAAGAGTGAGGCAAGACCTGCCATACACAAGGTGTGCTCCCTATGCTCAGCTTTAAACAGCAGAAAGTCAGAGGAGCTAAAGTAATTTATAACAGGTGATTTGCTCTTGAGCAAGACATTTGTTCTGCAGTGAATAACAAAGAACTGATGGAGGATGCAATGGGCCAGAGCAGCCTCAGTGCATGAGGTGGTGAGGATTAAGGTCCTGAGGGGAGTGAGGAAGGATGCTGAGATGATCAAGAGGCTCTGGTGCAACACATAATGAAAGAAGAAACAGAGTGAACTGCATTTTCTTAACTCAAAGAAGGCAAGGATTCTTCTCAGAGGAACACTATGAAAGGACAAGAGGCACTAGACAAAAGCCTCAAATAGAAATGAAGACTGGATATGAAGAAAATCCTCTCTACAAGGAAGACAGTGCAGCACTGGAATTTGAGAGGTTATGAGAGGTTATGGACTACCTCATTGCTAGAACTTTTTGAAAGAACTCAGCAAGGCACTGTACAGCTGAAGATAACCCAAGTGGGATGCTGGAATAAAAGCCTCTTTAACCTTTTGGTATTTCTGGATGGAAAGCCCCAAAAAATATCCTAGATATGCTGGGCTGTTCCCACCTGGTCAGTCCAGTTCACCTGTCCTTTCTCTACTATCCATTTGCCAAAACATTTCAGATGTTCAGCAGGATTGTGTGGGCAGACAGGGAAGTCCACTTGCTCTTATGAAGGGGCATTTTCCTGCTCAGCCCAGGAAGATCAGTAACAATGCAAGCACTGACAGCAGCAGTGAGCCCTGAAAGGCCATTTGAGATCACTGGAGCTGGAAGGAAAAGGTACTGCCCCAAAACGGGGCTCATACATCACAGGAGGAGCACAAACAGGGGCCATCCACCATGAAAATGCACTCCAGTGGGAAGAGAACTCTTCACATATGCCAATGGCAGTAGCCAGGGAATGTGCCCCCTTGCTTACACTGAGATGGCATGTCTCTAACAGCATGGCAGAAGGAACAGATGTCCCAAGTGCTGGCTCCTGGGAAGCTGGCTGGCTGCCCATTCAAATGCCATTAGAATTTGGCTTCTGGTTTTTTTTTCTTTAAGTGAGAGGAGGTGGAAAATAAATGCCATCAGCTTCAAGAACATACATTAAATGGGCAACAGATAATTAATTTTAAAATTGCTTAAATATTAGCAGTTCCTCTAGCATAAATAACAGGGTTTTTATTAGAACTTTTAATTCCATCAGATGTATCTGAGGGACATGGCGTGTCTCATTTTAAACATTTATTTTGTCAGAGTAAACCAACCTAATGTATTCCATGAAAATTATGCATTCTTTCACAATGCTAATTTGAATAATCAGTGTGGGGATACAGAACACAAAGCAATGTATGGAACACTGTGTTCACCATCTGTTTAACTGTGCTAAGATGACTTCTGTGTGGAGAATAGATGGTCATCTAGGGTGGGAAGGATCCTCCTGTGGCCCTGTAGAGTGCCCTTCCCTGCCGTGGATGCAAGTTAACCAACTGCTCTTCAGGGATGGGAAAATATTGTTTATCTAGTCTTGGATGAGTTCTGCTCTTGCACACACTTCTGACTGGCTGGTCAGGAATCTTCTGCAGAAGCACTTCAAAACAGAAAACTGCAGTGAAGCAAATCTGTAAGCTGTTCACTTAGACAAGTAACTTTCGACATTCTTCTGGTCAAAATTGGAGATTTTTTTGGAGGAAGAGAAAAGAAAAAAGGAAATCAGTTTTATTTTGGCACTTCCAAAGTGCAAAATGTGATTTCGTTTTGAAGCTGTAACTGGAAGCTTTATATATTCTAAGATGTTCATTCACACTGAGGATTTATTGATGAGACCATGTGGCAAAATGCTATGTAAAATTGAATAAAGCACAGTCCTAATTTCATTTTCAGAAGCCAAATATTATCAGTTTGGGTTCTTTCCCTCTTTTGAGATCCCCTGAGATGAGAAGATGGGGAATTCTTTGGCTTTGATCTTCTCTCAAAAACTTGCCTAAACTTTACAACACAGTCCCTGACTTGGAGCCAGTGGCTTGGCACACTTCAGTGAGATGCCTCCTGTCCCACCAAGCTGCCGAGGCAGGGCTGCCATCTCACCAGATAAATTTACACTCTAGAACTGTACTCAGCCCATCTATTTCCAGTTAAGAACACTGGGTGGAAGCAGCTCTCAAGTACTCAGCACCTGGCCAAACTCCTCTCTGACATTTCTGGGGGGATAAATAAATCACAGCTCTTTGGGCAATGGGGGCCCAACCTCAGCCACAGGAACTCAGGGGGTTCCCCTGCAACCACTGAGAGTGCAGCAGCTTCCCTCATCTCCCCTGTCACTCTGAAATATTGCAGAACTGCTCTTACATTTCTCTGCTGTTTACCTTAATTCATCCCTGCTCCCATTTAAGCCCATTACTTTGTTGTTCAGTCCTCCATGATAGATGAGGGCAATGAATCTCTGTCATCTCTAGCATATCTTCCCGTATTTTTGACAAATAGGCCCCCAGTGGGATTTTCTGCAGTTTAAGAACACCCCAGGTCTTCTTCCTTTAAGAAAAAGCAGCTAATACAGCCCTCTGAACTCACCCCATGTGTTGGTCTGAGATTATTTCAAGGCCAGACTCTTTTGAAGGAGTCCCTGAGCATAGACATGTATGTGTGTGTCTAAGTCCACAGATTCTCCTGCTCCACACATACATCAGAAATGGTCTTACTGCAATCTGCAATATTTAATTTGTTCAATATGAGTGTATGAAAAAAGGACCAAAACCTGACATTTGCATTTGATACAGGCCATGTTTCTGGTGGATGCAGCCTCTTGGGTCATTCCACAGGGGCTTTGTGAGCCACCTGCAATTTCAGTCACAATCTTCCCACAGCTCCTCTCTCCTGTATGGACCCCCAGCCCTGAGCAGGGTAGCCCCAGAACACAGCATGCTCCTGCTACAGCACCCTGCAGCTTCCTGGGGATGGGGTACACACCAGGGATGTGGGGCTGCAGCCACCCTGCACCCCTGTCCAAGTGCACTTCCACAGCAGAAAGTCAGTGCTGCACCCCTACAGATACTCCTCACCTGCAGCCTAGGCCTTGCCTTCCTATTCTGTTCTATTCTGCCACTGTCAATCCAGCCAGGAGCTTCTTTGAATTAGACCAAAACCTGCCTGCAAATCAAGCAGGCTCCTCCTTTCACAAAGTACATGAAGTTTGCTTCCATCACCCCTACCACACAGATTAACATTTGCTCACCTCTAATAATGACTGGGAAGCCAAATTCCAAGCTGGTCAGGTTAAATACCCCTTAAGCAGTGGCACAGGGAGCGCCAAACCAACACAGATAATAAAAAGCATGACTTGAATCCTACCCTGTTGATGCAATTTCTGGCAGCAAGGATCTGAGCTTAACTGCCCACTCAGGGACAGCACTCTGATGCCTATGAAATGCAGAGATGCTGCAGAAAATATTCTACACCCTTTTAAACCTTTTGAAGAGCTTTGGCATTGACAAAACTTCCTCTTCAAAAGGAAAACTGACTCCTGCTTTGCATGCATTTAAACCAGAATGGCTCCTGCACATGGCCACAGCATTTAAACTGTGTGGCTCTGCCGCCCTTTGTTGTCCAGCACAAACCCAATCCTTTTGAACAGGGTTTTGGAAGATGACCTCCTTTGACAAGGTCATTTGATACCCTCAGCCCTTACACCAGCCTCAAAGCATGAGACTTCAGTGAACAGCTGCTTTTCTCCAGCCTAGAAATTCCTGATGCTTGCTGAATTTTTGAGGCTAAAATAGTGAAAACGATTTTCTCCTCTTCTCCTTGGAGAGAGAATTCCCCGTATCCTTTACCCACGTGGCATGTGTATAAATATAATCTCCTTTCTCTTCTGGCAGCAATTCAAATCATGGGTTTTATTCTCCACCCCACCCAGATGGCAGTTACAGAATCGGGGCAGGAGGGAAGAAGATCGGAGAGGAAACATATGAAATGATACTGGCAAGATTTAAAGGGGACGGATAGAGAGAAAAAAATATGCAGAAAACAGCTGCCTTCCTCCTAATTTGATCTTTTCAAAAATGAAGTTGCACAAGTGAGACCCACTAGGTGATGCATTTGATTGTAATTGGGTTGCAAAACAGGCTAATTTTTCTTACTGTAGTCACTGTTTTCGTCCTTGGTCCCATCAATTGTACCATCTGGGTGCATCTGCAGGAAGTATTCCTGCTGGCTGAATAACCTTGTCACAATTCCTTTCAGCTGGGGTTCTGCAAAATAAAAATAATAATTATTACCAGATATACTGAGTAGCACAAGACCCAATTTGCTTGTCCCCCAATAAGCCCTGAATAAATGCAGAAGTGCTTGGCAGTTAAGACTGCTTTCAGTGATTCCTTTCAAGCATGGCTGTAAAATATTCACATATAATACAGAGAGACAGGCAAATACAATTGAGATCAGATGAGCAGGTAAAATGAAATGCATACTTGGTGCAGTAGAAACAGATTATGGAACATCAATTCTCTGAAAGTTACCTACCAAATGGAAGTATTTAGACAGTTGATGTATTTAGAATATGCCACTTGTTCAGAAGAGTATTTGCTCGCACTGTTGCAAAGAATGTGTCCATTGTTTCTATTCTGCTTCTGAAGCCAACCACCTTGCTTTTTGTATGCTTGAGTCATTATCATGCAGTGCCAGTTTTATGCCAATGAAAAGCTACTAAAATCACTGGTATTACAGTGGTGCAAACCCAGAGCAACTGAGTGCTGAATCAGGGCTGCATGTGAGTGCAACTCTGTGGGATTTGGGGAGAAAAATTCGGAAAGGGACAGACACAAAACATTTCCAAAACTGACCTCTGAAGCATTTATGGGCACCTCAGACCACCTCTGTTTTAAAATCCTGCATGTTGTCTCCCTCCTGAAACATGTGCCACACACTCTGGCAGATTAGAATCTTTGTCTCCAACAGGGACCTTTCCCAGCCCCTGTGTATCATGAGCCAGCCATGCCCTGGCTGACTCTTCCCCATTGCCTCTACAACATTTTATACCTTCCTGCTGAAGGATAAAAGGAAAACATGAACAAAAGCAAAACCAGCTTGAACTTCTCATGGCAGAGGTATGCAGCTTTACCACCTGTCTCCTTGTCACCCTACCAATCCAACACAAACTCTGTGGTCAAAAACAAATTCAATTGTAATCATGCAAGTTTAAAAATTTGTCACAGGCATTGCTGCTAGAACACAAGTGAGCTGATTGTGTGTGAGCAGACACACTCACTGCATGGAGGAGATCCTCCTCATGTGACAGGACTTTGTGGTTTTATGTGACCACCCTCCAAAAGTAAATAAATAGGCCCCAATTATTGCTGGCTCAATGGACAGGAAAGAATCCAGCGTAGCATACCAAAATCTCGTCAGGCTCCTGCCTTTCATGCCTCTGGTGAGGCTGTTTAATAAGCCATGGTTGTTACATAACCGTGGTCACGTTGTGTGTTGATGTTCCCATCCCAAGCCCCGCTCCCGCTGCATCCCTGCACAACTCCCCTTTGGGGAGCCCTCACCCTGCTCTCTGCACTCACAGCAGCAGGCATCTCACACAAAGACAGGCTGCAGGTGCAAAGGATTTCAGTTTCAGCAATCCCTACCCTAGCCAGGGCAGAGTCAGGTACTTTCTCACAGCTCCAAAAGCCACTGAATAAATCAGATCAGATGGTTTCTGTGCTGCTTTAAAAAAGAAGTGATTTCAGCGCAGTGAGAACGGTAGGCTGCAGTCAGGCTTCCTCCCAGCAACTCTCAATGCTGGACAGTAAATAAGTACAATTGTACTGGTCATCTACTAAGAGCTAGTTAGTGTTGGTCAAGCCAACATATGTCAAAATGACACCGAGCAAAACACTTAGCTCATTCTTACCTAAATGAATTACCTATTTTGATGAATGTAGAAGCTTGATTTAACTTGCTTTTCGTTAGAAAAGCACATCAAAGCTAGAGGAAATGAAAAGCTGCATTCTCAGGCACAGATGCCTGCATCATCCTCCTCAAGTCTGTCCCCTTCCTCCCTTTTATCTAATACCACAATAGTAAAGGCACTAATAGGCACTCTTTGATATGAGACACCTACATTTGAGTCCCTGAATGAATCTTAGCCTTAATTTTACTCACTGGTTAAATTTTAATGTTGAAGTACTTTGCATGAAATGGAAAAGCTCCCAGAAGGAGAGATTTAGAAGATACTCCTGCAGTCTGAAGTTTTCTGTGTGCTGGAGAAGTGGGGAGGTCTTGTCTTAAAGCTCTCTGAAGAGGAGCAGGGAGAGAACAACCCTGACCTTATCTCTTTTCTTTGGAAGATGACTTAGCTACAGAATAGAATTAGAATAGCACCTTTTCCTCCTTCTTAGAGATGCAAACTATATTTCAACCATGCAAATAATTTTGGAACAGGAAAATCTCTTCTACTAAACAGCCTATCATGTAAAAAACCAACCAAATCTGCTTGTTATTAATAACTTATGACATTTTCATAGTTTATCAGAATAGCACCCAAGATGCCCTGATGCTTCCTTGCATCCTTTCTATAGATGCAAACACTTGACCAGAAGGCTGTATCACCATAGCAAATACAGGATAAACCCTTTCAGATTCCTTTCTCTTACTGACCTAACAGACACCTGGTCAGCTTTAACAACTGCCCTCTTTATAAAGCCAGCTGTTTCTGAGTCATTGCCTACCTAGGGACAAGGTGGAGGGGAAATTTTGTGTTACATGACCTGGTTTTGCTGAATTTTGAGGCTCACACCCAAACTCAAAAGTAAAACTCAAAGGGAGTGAAGCAGAGAGTTCTCAGCCATACACAAAACCACATTTCTCTTGTTCCTAACACAGTCTGAATGCAGCAGAGCTCCTGTCTCTCCTCACTGCACAGATCCTCTTCTGCAGGAACATCCCTGCCCACACTCATTTAGGATAGCCTGTAGCAAAAAAATGCCTCTTCCAGACATGGAAGTATCAGAGAGCCTTCTGGAGACACACAGGTCTTCTCCTTCCCTGGTTTTTTCATTTCCTTGGGTCTCCTTCTACAGCAGAGAAGCTGCACTTTCAGGTACCTTTAGCAACCTGAACTAAACACAGAAGCAGCCAGGGAGGTGCACAGCCAGCACCGAGTTCTCTCCTCAAACACAAGGAGGGCTGAGCAATGGGTGATTTGTCTCACACAGTACAGCCCTCTCTCCACCTGAACTGATCTCTCTTTGCATCCCCAAACCCCCACAGGCTGGCCAGGCCAGGTCCAAAGGGTCCCAAAACCACCAGTCTCTCTCCAGTGCCTGCAAAGGAAGCAGCTCAAGCACAAACAGGTGCACAGGTGACAACAGCTGCTGGAGTAGCTGCTTCCCACCAGGGAACCTCTTGTCTTATGTCCGGGCATAAAGTGAGGTGCTGGGATTTGCCATTCATACAGTAAGCTGTGTGGCTGGAGGCCTACAGACAAAATTTTAGGTGAAGACAACTTTTAACAAGGAGCGAGGACTTACTCATCTTCCCCTCTCAGTGTGGAACTATTACCAGAAGAGAACATTGCATCATCACAGGGAATTTTGCTGCTAGCCCAGAGGTAAAATGCTGCATGTGACTTTTAAGAGACCTACTTTTGGCATATCATATATTTTAACATCACTTCTTTCCATCTACAGAGCAATTCTATCAGTCTTCCAGCACTGCTAACCCTTATGCTGCAGCATTTGTTCTGAAAACTTCAGTTTCTAGAAAAAAACCCCACAAAGCCAGTAAGTCTCCTTGTCAATTAAGGATGCTGAGACACCCTGGTAAGTCAAAACAGAAAGACAATGAAACAGACTGAGAGCTTTCCAGGTTTGTAATAAAGAGAACCACCCTTTCCGGCAGATATTATTGACAGCGCTTATTGGAGTACCAGGGGGGAAAAATACAAAAAACCCCACAACCTCTATACTTTTGTCTGTATTTCCCTCAATGGTACTGCTCCAGGCTATATTCAATAAGAGAAAGAATCAAACAGTAAAATAAAGGGAAAAAATGCAGCACAGATAAGCAAAAATTCTGCTGTGAGCATTTTTTTTTCTATAATTCTTAAAATTTATCTCAAAACAAACCTACTGTCTAGCCTCAGCCTTGTAAAGCAAATGGGACTCAAATCCTCTTGCTTTTAAAGGTGCAATACTTGCAATACTGCAGAACACACTTGGGATAAACCTATTCCTCCCCCTCAGGCTCCTCCATGTGCACTTCCCTTCTGCTACAGAAGCAGCTTTCCCTCAGAAATGGAACTGAACTAACATGGACAAGACTTCAGCACCAACTTAGTGTCTCCCTAAACACAAAGTCAAGCACTTCAGAATGGATTTAGGAAAGATGTTCTTGCTGCCTTAATCCCAAACTACTGACTGAACAGAAGAGATTTCCATGCAGCTTCTACTCCCAGTGCAAGACCCCATGCTACCAGGTTTCCCATGCAATATGCAAAGGGATTTTTTTATCCCCACTTTATAAGCAATACTACTATACTTCAGGATGTTTACTTTAAAGATCTTGCTCTAGCTGCTCATATACAGCTGTTGAGGGCTGGGGAGTACTGGAGAAAGCTCGGTGGACTCTCTTCATGCAGATGCAGTAAGATCAGTTCCTTCCAGTGTGGCAATTCTGGAGGATGCAAGGGAAGATCATGCTCAGGAAGCACCACAATGGGGAGATGAGAGTGCAGAACAGAACAAAAACAAGGAGCAAGAGCTAAGCCGTAACTCTCCTAGTGTGTAGCATCTATCAGACTGGGCACTTTACCTTCAGTGAAGACACAGTTGTCACCTAATGCCCCTTCTTAGAGCAGTCATCCACTGCCAGCTCACTGAAGATCCCCTGAAGGGCATCTTGCTTGGTCACCCTTTCCACAGGCCAAACTCACCACTTCTGCCTGCCCTGCTGTTAACTTTCTGAGCCCTCTGGCACAGCTGAGGCCAAGTAAATCATGATCTGACTGCTAATCTTCCTGTCTCTACTTAAATGGTAATGTGATGCTGCCATTATTCACTTCTGCTGTCCTGCTGCTGAGCCTTAAAGTCATCTCAGTTCACCATGAGCTGCTGTGCTTCCTGCCTTATTATGCAGCTACACAGTGATCTCCATCCTCCCGGGGCTTGCCAAGGACATGATAGTTGCAGGGTGCTCACATGCACTTTGTTTATCTCCAGAGGCATGCTCACTGAGGGCCAGAGGATCCTGGTTAAATCAGCCA